TGTAGGATACCATAATCCATGAAACTTCCAGGATGGGTTTGGGAAGCTGATAACTTAGGTCGTGCAAAGTTTCAAGGCAATAGATTGAGGTTTAGATAGTTTTTTAAACATTAAGCTCTTTTTACATTAAGCTGTTCACATTAAATGTTTTAGGATTGTAATAAAATAGTTTTGGTATGTTTTATCAAATGACCTCAAATCTTCAGAATATGTTGGCATAGATAGATTCTTGTATTGTGGGAAGTGTGGGGGAAATTGGTTAACATCTAAGTTGTTTTCTGTACGTTAAGCCACATTAAGCTCCCCAAAAAACAAGCTTAATGTTACTCATTTGCCCTATGGGTAACCAAAATCCATGAATCTTCCAGGATTGGTTTGGGAAGCTAAGCACTTGGGTTGTGCAAAGTTTCAAGGCAATTGATTGAGGTTAAGGGTCCCCACACACCTTACGATTATCGTACGATAATCGTGGGAAATCCCGCGATCGTACGATGACCGTAAGGTGTGTGGAAGCCGTGCGACCTCTACTACTGTAAGGTCGCACGACTTTAAACTTACGGACATGTTTGAAAACCCGCCGAGCATCGTACGATGTTCGGCGGGTTTGTGGCATGTCCGTACGATAACAGCCGTACGGGCCGGTGTGCGCAAGCGCACACTGCCCGTTCGGCATTGCGGTCATCGGAAGCCCGCCCCTCAGGGGGCGTGGCTTGCGATCATCGCAAGTACGATCTGCCTATGCAACATAGGCAGATCGTACGTTTTTTTAAGTACCTTACAACCATCGCAAGACAGAAGTCTTGCGATGGTTGTAAGGTGTGTGCCCAGCCTTAGGCACATTATGGTACATTAAGCCATTTTCACATTAAATGTTTTAGGATGTCCCAATCTGGAGCAGTCTTGCATGGCAACCAATCAAGCTTAAATGAACAAACTGAAGAGAGAATCTGATGGGTCACTATGGGTAACAGCTCCAGTTTTTATAAATTCCCCCCAGACTGTTTAGAGTTTATTGGACTCAAGCTATGTTATTTTTTGTATTTTGATTTTGTACTATTAATGGAAGTGCTACATTTATTAGATAGATTCTATGCAACTTTTACAAACAAACTTACATGTTATTTGTAAAATGTTTTTTATGTAGCAGCTTCCGAGTGAAGATAGTGAGGGATCACCCAGGTGAAAGCAATGATTGTTTATCTCACTTGGTGTTTGATACACCAAGCACAGAATGTTGGTATATTTATTTTTAAATGGATGTGTTTTTCCAAAATGTTCTATAATGCAAACCTGAAAATATGACCCAACAAGTTAAGGAAACAAAAGGGCACCCTGCATTAATGTTGGCATCTACAGCAACATGCATATTAAACAAAAACATTTAACTATGCCTGAACAGCTTCCTTGCTTGGAAACGTACCCCAAAAATTGAAATGTTAAACCAAGGTCCCTGAGGAGCTTTTTGACCTTAGTGAACCTAACTCATAAAGGGAGCCAAATTATTCTGCTGTTCCCTTCAGATAGTACGTACATGATGTCTATGGACCGTGGATATAAGGAGAATTAGAGAGAAGCTCTCCTGTGTCTATTGCTAGAAGTAAAAGCATATACGTGTCATGTATAAAGTCAGTTGTGGACATTGTGTTTACCTGCATCATCCTTGAACCATCCGAACAATTAATCCAAATGTACTTTATTTATGGAACCATTTCCACCCCAAGGTTGGTCAATAATATAAGTTGAAAGGAACGAGGATTTGTTTTCGGAATTGAGGACTAGGAGCCTAAAGTACTTATTTCCTACTGATAGTTGGTGAAAGTCCTTCCTGCTGAAGCCACACTTACTTTGCCATTCTCCTGCACAAGAATTGTCCCTCTATTAAAAATGAGATTTTCTGCAATTAACTAGTGTCCCCATTGGAAGATTTCCCATCTATTCTTGTTCTGATGACAACCCAAAATTTGGGATATTTTCACTTTCAGTGATAACTGCATCACTGGGGCAAATAGGGTAAATGTCCCCCACAGGGACAGAGGCCACAGTAAAAACTTTAGATCAGTGTAGATACCAACTGCTCATTATACAGTGCTGTAACCAGGAGGGTGGTGCTTGTAGTGACAGCAGATGGCACTGAATTACATTGCAAGGTAAATAAGTCACCAGCACTCAGTCAATATGTCACCTTAACCTCTTGCAATCCGCCCGTTAAGAAAAAACGGACGGACGGCTGACTATCTGCGGGTTGCCGTCGTGAGACGGCATTTTTTTCCTGCTAGGGGGCGCGCGCGCACGGGCAGGAAAGACCCGCTTGTTACTTCAGCCGTTAACGGCTGTTTCACATACAACCGATCAGCGGCTCTATAGCCGCTGATAGATATAAGGAGAATTAGAGAGAAGCTCTCCTGTGTCTATTGCTAGAAGTAAAAGCATATACGTGTCATGTATAAAGTCAGTTGTGGACATTGTGTTTACCTGCATCATCCTTGAACCATCCGAACAATTAATCCAAATGTACTTTATTTATGGAACCATTTCCACCCCAAGGTTGGTCAATAATATAAGTTGAAAGGAACGAGGATTTGTTTTCGGAATTGAGGACTAGGAGCCTAAAGTACTTATTTCCTACTGATAGTTGGTGAAAGTCCTTCCTGCTGAAGCCACACTTACTTTGCCATTCTCCTGCACAAGAATTGTCCCTCTATTAAAAATGAGATTTTCTGCAATTAACTAGTGTCCCCATTGGAAGATTTCCCATCTATTCTTGTTCTGATGACAACCCAAAATTTGGGATATTTTCACTTTCAGTGATAACTGCATCACTGGGGCAAATAGGGTAAATGTCCCCCACAGGGACAGAGGCCACAGTAAAAACTTTAGATCAGTGTAGATACCAACTGCTCATTATACAGTGCTGTAACCAGGAGGGTGGTGCTTGTAGTGACAGCAGATGGCACTGAATTACATTGCAAGGTAAATAAGTCACCAGCACTCAGTCAATATGTCACCTTAACCTCTTGCAATCCGCCCGTTAAGAAAAAACGGACGGACGGCTGACTATCTGCGGGTTGCCGTCGTGAGACGGCATTTTTTTCCTGCTAGGGGGCGCGCGCGCACGGGCAGGAAAGACCCGCTTGTTACTTCAGCCGTTAACGGCTGTTTCACATACAACCGATCAGCGGCTCTATAGCCGCTGATCGGTTGTATGGAGTGAATTTTGGAGGCCCCCCCCGAGACCCTGCTCAGCCCTGAACCATAGGCATTATGACTTGTGATATAGTCACAATAAAAACATTTATGTTTGCTTCTTTAACGACTGTGTGCTGGTGACTTTCCTTATAGAAGTAAAAAAATGACAGGTGTAACTGTACTGAGGGATGTAGAACGCCAATCATGACCTCTTTTCAAAATACTAGTGCCCAACAGTTTCAGTGATCCAAAGGGGTTCATTTACTAAAGGCAAATAGGGAAGTTTCCATTAGCTTAATGAATGTGGTGTAATTTCACTTTGCAAAGATTACCCTATCAAGTGAAAGGAAAAAAAAAGAAGAAAAGTATTTTTTCTTGCATGTGATTGGGTGATGGAAGTCAGGAGAGCCTCATCTCATTCAGCAAGGTCAAGAGAAATTTCCCCTGCAAATTCTCTTTAAAAGTGAACAGCATACTTGCCTTTAGTAAATTAACCCAATGCATCAACAGGCGGAGTCCTACAGCAAGTACATAAATCAACAGTCCTGACTGCTTTCTGCATGTTTGTTGCAGGAGAATAACCAAACAGGTTGTAGTGTCAGACAAGCTTGTATTTTAGAAGTTCAGCAATGACAGTGTGTGTGTGTGTGTGTGTGTGTGTGACAGTGTGTGTGACAGTGTGTGTGTGTGTGTCTGACAGTGTGTGTGTGTGTGTCTGACAGTGTGTGTGTGTGTGTGTGTCAGTGTGTGTGTGTGTGTCTGACAGTGTGTGTGTGTGTGTCTGACAGTGTGTGTGTGTGTGTGTGTGACAGTGTGTGTGTGTGTGTGTACAGGTTTCCTTCAATTAGAAAAAGGGAAGGTTTAGGGCTTGTTCACACCAAGTGCGGAGCAGATACAGAGCAGTTACAGAACGCATAAAAAATGCATCCAAAGTATTCCAATGGTAAAAAAGAGAAGAGGAGCGGAACACAGCAAAAACGCACTGCACATGTAAAAACTCATGCAGATCTGGTGTGAACAAGCCTTAAGAAGCAGAGTATGCGCACATTATGAAGTAAACAAAAATAAAATTTAGCAAAGCTGCTCGTCATAAACCTGTCCTAATGTCCCCAGTGAAGAGATTATGATTTATGGATATCTGAATGAGCAGTTCAATTACATTGCTGAGACACCATGCATAAAAGATTACCTGGAAAACAGGGAGATGAGGAAGGGTTCAGGAAACACTGCACAGAACAGTCATGTGCCGAGTGCAGCAATCCTAGCAATTGACTCATTTGACAAATTGAGTCAATTACATTTAAATGATAAAATTGTGCAGCCCATGGCAGCCAGTTGAGTGTCATTACACCTTGCACTAATCATTTCAAGAAGCCGGTTAAAGCTCTTCACTGTGCAGAAAACACAGTTGTGGCATCAAAATATACTGCATGCATAGAAGCCTTTAATAAGATTTCAGATTTAAAAGTGTACAACATTATACAAATTAATCCAATCAATTCCGCTAAGAAAATTGAATAATGTATTAAGCTTAAAGTATTAAAATCAACTACTACACACAGGACAGCATTATGTTTAAGTCCAGTAGTTCACCAAAATAACTGGTCTTAAAATGGGAAAAGGTTCATGAAGTGTGTACAATATATAAAAGAAAAATACATTTGCAGGGCTGTTAATTCTAGTAATTAAAAAGATTGCCAGTGTACAAAAGGTAATGCTTAAAATCCTATGACAAAATGCGTCTGGTAAAAGTTTCGCCACACAGACTTGTTATAAGTGTATAATATGTACCCCATTAGTTCCAGGGCCTCATTTTAGTAGTGCGGATGAATGCCATGTAGTCTGTTTTGTAGAGAAGACGGGTCACCAACTTCTCCACTTAGAGGCATGTAAATGCTTGTTGCATCCCTTAGATCTGCAGTGTACATTTTTTGAGGGTGTGGGGTAATTGCAGAAGAGCTGGAATCAGATTCAGTCCCTGGTGCTGAAGATCCAAAGCCCAGGGTACTAGTGGTCTGCTGAGTGTAGTGTGCTGGTATGTTATACATGGGTGCAGGACTCATATAAGTCTGAGAGGAAGCCAACATGGAGCCATAATGCAGGCCGTTAAGCTCATACCTCTGCACGTGCTGAAATGGAGACCGGTTTATACCAGGATGTTGCAGGTGGTCAAAGTGCTCCTGCATGAAAGCATATGCCCCTGTAGGCCATCCATTCATGGGGACATAAGGGTCTGTCCTCCGACCAACTCCTACAGATCCCAACATGAGATTAGTATCTGCAGTTGAAACTTCACCAGGCAGGTAATATTGATCCATTTTCTGGAGTTTCTTCTGCTTCCTTTTTGGTGTGTACTTATAATCCGGATATTCCGACACGTGCTGAGCCCTTAGTCTTTTTGCCTCATTTATAAAGGGCTTCTTTTGGGCATCAGTGAGGAGTTTCCAGTCTGCTCCCAACTTCTTGCTGATCTCAGAATTGTGCTTCTTGGGATATTCTGCAAGCATCTTTTTTCTCTCTTCTGTTGACCACACCATAAAAGCATTCATAGGTCTCTTTATTCGAATTTGGCTCGGCTTAAGAGCATTACTTTTTATCCTTTCTGGTGTAGGAGCATTGCGTTTCACCCCTGCAGGCACACTTTCCCCAGTCAGTGTGCTTGCTTTCTGCACAGGACTCCGGATGCTTGTTTCCACCATGGTATACATTTAGTGCAAACTGTGGGCTTGTAGCTGCAATCTCTCTGAAACTTTTAGCAAACACCAACTCACCCTTGTTTCTCTGGTTAAGAGCAATCCAGGCCTCTGACTAATTGTATATTAATTAGTATCAATCAGCCAATAATAGCAAGGTCCCAAAGTCAAACCCTCACTAACCATTGCAAAAGCTGCTTAACCCTTTCAAATGACATTCATCACTCAATCATTTACAAAAACGTGCAAAGAAAGGAAGTACAAGTGAAGCAATTAACCATTGGAACCATAAAAGTTCCCTAGAGAAATGAAAAAAAGGTTTCAGGTTGCTACAGGCAACAGCTTAACGTGGGTTGCTCTTTTGCACAAGCTTTCACAAAACAGAAACACCAAATGGCATCAGTAAACTAAGGCAAGGACATATGAATGCTTACCCCATTTATTATATGTATAACACAAGCATCCAATCCCCATGCTCAACGTTAGCATAGCACACAGAATCAGGAAAGTTGTGCTCTGTAATGTTAGTGGCAATGTTTTGTAATTGTCCAAACAATCAAAAATGTAAATTGTATTCTTTGTTTTGCCCTGGATATACCTACGGTTAAGTTATAAGATCTGATATGTACGCATTTGAACTTCAGTTTGTTCAGGTGCTCAAACTGAGCCCATTCACACACATCAGTAAACTGCGTTTTACTGCATCTGATCAACGCAGGTCACCACTATGACACATAGATGCTACGCACTAGCCTGCCCACTAAAGCACAACATTTTAGAAGATGGGCTAGTGTGAATGAGCCCTTAGCATGCAGACACATATTTGAATTAGGTTACAATTAAAGGTCATCAGATTACTGCATCAGATCACATATTGAGCATGCAGACACATTAGCATGCAGACACATTAGTGTGCAGACACCTTAAAATGCAGACACATCTTTGAATTAGGTTACAATTAAAGGTCATCAGATTACTGCATCAGATCACATATTGAGCATGCAGACACATTAGCATGCAGACACCTTAGCATGCAGACACCTTAGCATGCAGACACATTAGCATGCAGGCACCTTAGCATGCAGACACATATTTGAATTAGGTTACAATTAAAGGTAATCAGATTACTGCATCAGATCAACGCAAGTCACCACTATGACACATAGATGCAACGCACTAGCCTGCCCACTAAAGCACAACATTTTAGAGGACAGGCTAGTGTGAATGAGCCCTTAGCATACAGACACATATTTGAATTCGGTTACAATTAAAGGTAATCTGTCATGCAAAAAGAAGAAAGCTACCATTATTGACCTCACCTTCTGAAATGCTAGTTGTCTGGCTGTCAAAGCTGACCCTCATTCTTCAATACCTTAAGGCTGAGATCACGTGGCAGCAGCCATCACTATCCTCTGAAAAGAAATCTGTGGTGGATTGCTTTTCATAGGACGGTGCAGCAGCTGCTCCCCGGCTTTCAGGAGGCTATACTGCCACCCCCATGTGGTTGCGGCGTGATCCCATTCGTTGCAATGGTCGCATTTGATAATTTAAAGTGGCACCGCCTGCTAAATGTGACATTCTGCATCCGCAGCGATGTATACAGCACTGGTTGGCTGCAGTACTGACATTGCAGCAAGACAAGGGGGGTGAGCAGTAAAAACGCAGATTAACAATTCAATTTTTGCCCATATGAACAAGGCCTAAAGGTGGCCATACACTCTACAACCATCGCAAGACTTTAGTCTTGCGATGGTTGTAAAGGGATTAAAAAAACGTACGATCTGCCTATCTTGGACAGGCAGATCGCACTCTCGATCATCGCAAGCCCGCCCTCCTGAGGGGCGGGCTTCCGATGACCGCAATGCTGAACGGGCAGTGTGCGCGTGCGCACACCGGCCCGTTCAGCATTTATCTTCCGAGCACCGTTCTAACCAGCCGAGAATCGTACGATTCCCGGCTGGTTTTCGAACATGCTGGTTCGACAGAAGACGTGCGACCGTACAGTAGAAACGGTCGCACGTCTCCGTTCACACTGCTCGATTATCGTACGAAAACCCGATCGCATACGATTATCGTACGATAATCGTGCAGTGTATGGGCACCTTTAGGCTCTGATCTAAAAAGTTTGAAGACAAGGACTTCTGACATTTCTCCAACCTTACTGATCTGCATACAGTGATACCTTGGTTTACGAGCATAATTCGTTCCGGAAGCATGCTTGTAATCCAAAGCGCTTGTATATCAAAGCAAATTTCCCCATAGGAAATAATGTAAATTCAGATGATTCGTTCCACAACCCAAAAATATTCATATAAAAATGATTACAATACTGTAATATAATACTGTATAAAATATAAAGAAAAATAAACCAATTACTGGTACCTTTGTGGCTTGTGTGAGGGGGACTATTGTGTAGGACGACTTTCACTGTCACTAACGGAATCACTGCTATCTCTCGGCTCAATGGAATCTTTTTCATTTCGTGAAACCTTTAAGGTGGCCATACACTTTACAACCACCTTAGTCTTGCGATGGTTGTAAAGTACTTTAAAAAACGTACGATCTGCCCATCTTGGACAGGCAATTCGTACTCTCGATCATCGCAAGCCCGCCCACTTGAGGGGCGGGCTTACGATGACTGTAATGAGGGGCGGGCTTACGATGACTGCAAACGGCCCGTTCGGCAGTTGTCGAACCAGCAGGCCACTAACTCGCCGAGAATCGTGCAGTGTATGGGCACCTTAACAAGGATTCTATCCAATGTGACATTGCATTGTCGTTAAACAGACTCATCGCTCGCACTTCTACAGCCTTATTCGGGTGGTGCTTTCCTACAAAGATTTGCTCTTATTGCAAGTCATTGCTTGTATTTCAAGGCAACATTTTTCAGAAATGTTTGCTTGTCTTGCAAAACGCTCTCAAACCAAGTTACTTGTAAACCAAGGTATTACTGTACTTGTTCTGGGTCATAGACTAGGAGCACACTGAAGCTTATCAGCCTGTAGAGCAGCCAGGCAACCAGCATTTGCAGAAGAAGGTAAACACTACATTTGTATGACAGATTTATTTTAACCTACAAATTTGGGTACAGATTACCTGAAATGTAATGCTGGAAAGTTCACCTGTTCATATGAGGAAGGGTCACTCGCTGGCCGTATCTAAAGCAAAAACACCTTACCCTTTCGTATAAGAAATTTTGTGTGTCTGTCTCATGGAGGATTTAAGAAATTCCAAAGTGTATATATACACATAAGCAGGACCAGGCAAGCTACAAGTTAGAGAACACCTGTCATGTGATGCTGTAAATGATCTCTGTATCTGAGCTCTATATACACATTCTCTATTCCCATCTCATTCATTATGTCCTGACCATACCCCATTCCCAGGTTTAACTGCATTAGTTAGGATCAGGAGCATCACCACTATAACATCCCCAAACAACACTGTCTGTGGACAGCCAGGTCTGCTTCTCATATAAAGTCACCCCCTGCTGGACTGACTAACAGATTGACCACAGTGGCGTAACCAGAGTTATGGGCGCCCGGGGCAGACATTTTTTTTTCGCCCCCCTCCCCCATATTATATAAACATCCACTGGAACTGTACCCCCCACCCATATTAGACAGGCTGTTACCTAGAAGTAACCGGAGTCAAATAATAATTAGTTGTCCCCATCAGAGTGCCCCTTATTTACAAAGGTAGTGTAAGGGGGCACACTGATGGGGGCAACCAATGTAAGAGGGGCCTTGATGGGCTGTCAGCCAGCCATAATGGGGCACAGGTTAGCGATCGCGGTCCAGACAGGAATATCTGTAAAAAATAAGCCAAGGCAACGGGACTTGCTGTATTTTACTTGAAGACCTTTCACTGGACTTCCGACCCGCTTTCTCAATTCAGGAGTTTCTGAATTGAGAAAGCTGGTTGGATGACCAGTGAAACGTCTTCAAGAAAAATACAGAAAGTCCAGTTGCCTTGACTTATTTTTTACAGATATACCATGACCTGGATGAATGAGAACCTTCACAGACATATTGCTATAGAGAATGGGATCTCACTGGCCCCCCAACCCCCCTGGCATTCTCTGCACTAAAGTAGCTAACACTCTTATGTCCCCCGCACAGTCACACACTATTATTATACATTTATATAGCTCTGACATATACCGCAGTGCTGTACAGAGAACACTGAGCCAGTCACATCAGTCTCTGTACAGAGGAGCTTACACTCTTATTTCCCCCCACAGTAATACACTATTATTATACATTTATATAGCTCTGACATATACCACAGTGCTGTACAGAGAAGTCACATCAGCCAGTCACATCAGCCTCTGTACAGAGGAGCTTACACTCTAATGCAGAATACCACTAGCTATAGAGGACTAAAAATCCCAGCAATACATTATACAGCAATATAGAATAATAGTATATGAATTTGGTACATACTTTGTGCTGCCGCTCTGCTCCGGGGTACCAGCCTGAAGTCTCGGGCAAAGGGGCTCAGGAGGGAAAGATAGGCAGCCGGTGGAAGCCCTGTAAGAAGGCACCGCGTGGTTCCTCAGAAGGCTGCTGTGCGGGACCTAACACAGCCGAATCAATTTGAAAAATTAAATTGCCGAGGTCACTAGTAACGCAGAAGTCAGTGGTATAATGCAGATTACAGAAGAAAGCAGTGTGACGCAGAGGTCAGAGGTGTGACTTATAGTGCAGAGGTCAGTGGTGTGCCGCAGAGTGCAGCGCAAGCGGCGGCTATATTGAGTGGGGCAATTTAGATTAATAATGTCCTGGATTAGTCTGACCCTAGTTCATTTTAATATTTATTAAAATCTGTAGTATGTGTATTTTTGAAATGCCGTGGGTGGCCCACGTGCAGTACAGCCTTCTCGGCCGAACCTCTTACTTCTAAGTAGGTCAGGTGGTTGGAGATCTCAGAAGTTGGAACTTTCTATAGGGCTTCGATAGAGCTTTTCTCCTCCTGATGAGCTGCAGAGAGTATCGTGGCAGTGCAGTGTCTGT